TTGAGTCCCCGTTCTGTATAACTCCTGTTTGATTAGTTGCAAATTACGTGTAAAGTTTTGTAATTCTGTTTTAATACGAGGGAAAGGCAAATTTATTAGGAATTTAACAGGACCTTGTGGGTGTAGTTTGATAAGAGCTGCGCTGACAGTGCTGTAACATAATAACAAGCAAAACCCACAACTTTCATTAGGTTTGGACTGAAATGCTGCCAAGCTCTGATCGGTGCACAGACACATGTGAAATTGCTCCTTTTTTTCAATTGAGCCACTTCAAACGGAGAAAAAAAAAAAAAAAAACACGGAGAAGAAAATGTTGTGTTCATTAAGACTCGTGTTGCTTGAAGCCTTTAAAGAAACTACTGTTAATTTCAGAAGAGGGGAGAGGAGCAGAAAAAAGAACACACAACACATCACATTAACCCAAACACACAAGAGTGAATGACGTCCTCACCCCACCTCCTCTTTCCTGGCCCGCACCCTCTCCAACAAGTTCTCCAACTCCATTTTGGGCTCTAGCTGACCCTTCTGGGCTCCAGATTCATGTAGACCAACAGATAATGAAGTACAGAGGCTTTCAAATGATCTTTTAATGCCTCAGAAAAATGTTTTGGATGCTTTTACTGCTTTTTCCTATCCAAACTCCCCGTCCTCGTCCTTCATCGTGCTCTCTGTTAAATCAACAGATGGATTCACTGTAATGGTGGCTGATCAATACGGCGCGCAGGGGCGCCGCGCCACTACTAGTGACCAGATAAAAAGTAGCTCTCAAACACTATATTAAATTTTAATCAATTATAACAAAATGATAATAAAATGAATAATAATGTTAATATTCTTTTGCCATATTAACAATATCTGTATTATTAACAGATTTTAAAATGAGTCTTTACTGTGTGTTTACTAATGTTACACTTCCTGGATGTGGGGCGCCGGCCAAATGAGTGTGTATGTAGCTCGAAAAACTTTTTGTGATCATGTGACCTTGGCCTGGACCCTGACTGGCAGCTGCAGATTTCTCACGGGGCGCAGCTCAGTGCGTCCCAGACCCGTCCACTTTTGTTGTAAGCCAATTAATTTTGTCTTTATTTGGATATCAAAACTGTGCTTTGACATATGGCCTTTCCCCTCCTCTTCTACTAGATGACAGCTACTGTCATGATGGTTTAATGCATTGGCCATGCTGTCAATGGAGAAAAGCCTGGTCACAGAGATGAGTGACTTCAACAAAAAGCAATAAAGAAGTTTGCAGAGCAGAAAGAGAGAAGAGCCTTTTTTATTGTTGTTCAAATAGCAGGACTCCAGACTGCATTTGCGACTATTTTTTTTTTGAGAGTGTGAATTGATGAGCATGATGATCATGAAGCTGTATTAGTGTCGCTGTAACCGGCACAGGAAGCTGCTGTGTTAACCACAGTGGTGGAAAGCAGTACAATTATAACTTCAGTGTTTACTGCAGTATTTACACATAAAAATGAGGTATTTTTGTGAAAAACAGAGAGCCCCTACATTTGCTGTTTTTCTTCTCGTATAAAAGTCCGCGTGTAGAATTCCTGTAACTGGGTTTAACCCCAGACAAATCTGAAATGAGAACGCCTAGTTTGTTATTTTTAAAGTCATTTTTGGTCACACACCTGTCAGAGCACACCACAGTCATCAAGCAGCAGCTACCACAGCCTGCAATGTGGGACATTTAGGGAGCATCAGTAAATTGTAGTGTCTATCGATAAGAAAATGTTCAGCAAGTCATATGTTTCGCCTTTGACCAGGTCGGAGGTGAAAAAAATGAGAAAGTTGGTTGCACCAGTGCTACCAGTGAGTAGTCTGGAGCCCTGAAGAGTGTTTTTTTTTTCATCATTTATGTTGTGTGTTTTGAATTTGTATAGAGCCTGTAAATAGTGATGAAAGTTTGATGAATAGTTTTGAAATTTAGTCCTGGTAAGTCTGAATAATGTTAAATTAGATTATGATTAGAATATCCTCCAAAGGTAGAAAATTGGCATTCATGTAAATAGCTGTGCCTGATGTTCATATTCAAATTTCTGATTTAAAATAAAAAGTCATTTGCAGACTGCCCACAAAATCTTTACCAGCCAGCACTGAGAGATAGATTTTTGTGATGTATTTTTGCCTGGACTAATGCTAATTGTCTGGGGAGTGATTCGAGGCACGGAGGGCTGATTGCATGCGTGCGCGAGTTGCTTTGTGTTGTGTTGTAGTCCGGCAACAGGTGGACGAATGCTATGGAGAAAGTAGGGTTAGCGTTGACAGCCCGAGGAATGTGTCAGGTCTCTGTTTACATGTGCATATGAACACACACACACACACACACACACACACACACACTATAGGGTGCATTTGTTGCTGCTTGGGTGGGATGGAACAGCAGGGAGATCTAAGGAAAGGAGAGCAGTTGTGTTTTGGTTCAGATGTCCCATTTGGGTGTGGCAGCTCACACTGACGACAGCACCCAGAACCAGGCACCTGTGTGGGCTAGGTTAGTGTGTTTCCCTTCCAGTGCGGAGACTGGCGCTGAGATTAAACAATAAATCTGATTTTTAACATTTTCCCACTGCCAGCAATAAGACTAAAACCAATGATGAACTGATTCCACAGATAAACCCGGTCTGTGTAGCTGAAGCCTGATAGAGCTCCGTTATTGTCCAAAAACCACACGATTGAAAACACATTGGTGAGTCACACTGCGGTGCTTGTAATGATAAAAATAAAAATGGTCCTGCTGCGATAAATTCTCACCAAATGTGTGTTAACATGCAGCTGAAAACAGCCCCTAACAAATACAGTATTTACTGCCATTTGACAGCACCCAGCTGTTATAGGAAACTATAACCGGCCTGTTTTATTTGTTGCCTGTTCTGAAAGGTCTTCTTCCGACAACTGGACTTAAGATTGTAAGCTACAGCCAGACTATAGAAGTTAAAAATTGGAAAGAGACGCACCAATAGGTTGTGGTGCTTCAAGGGGATACCAAAAACAGATTTGAGCTACAGCCTTATCCTTAAAGATGTAAGGTTGGATTGGTTCAGTCAGTGGTGGAACATTCAGATCTGATCCTCACACATGATAAGAAGTACACAAACAGCATACAAGACAACAGAACAAATCTTTAATTTGAGGTAAATTAATTAAGGTCATGCGTCTCATGTCTACGCAACAAGATTAGTCCAAGGTTGAGACGGCGTAGCAGCTATTGTTCAAAACATTAAATGAACAAGTCACGCTTCACTCTCCTGAGCAGGCAAAACAAAAAAATCATTTTAAAGGAACCATGTTGATTAACATGGTTGAGCTCCCTTTAAGAATACTCTGGGAGACCTGTAAAGCCCACACCCCAAACATCCACACACAAACAGGTCACACAGGCCACACACGAACACAGACAACATTTATGTGCATCCAGAGGCCTACGCAACTGTTGTTTTTGTGTAGCCCCGGTGCTTTGCTCAGCTGGTATTCTGGGTGAGTTATCCCAAAGTGAACTTGTTGGCTAACAGCATCAGACAAGCTGTCAGGGCAGCTCATCTCAATAACAACAACATGTCTGGCCAGTCCTGCACGCATGGTTGACTCCGCCCTGTTTCCACTGTCTTATTGTTACACTTATATCTACTGATTCATGTGAAAATGAAGCAGATAAAATGCCGAATTCCTCTGCTGATGATTTAAGTGACGCAGTAAAAGCCTGTTTTATGGGCTCGATTCTCTTTCTACCTAATATAGTAATCAACTTTATATATAAATCTCCACTTAGAGATCCCCTCCAAATGGCATCTGACTGAACTATATGATGAATAACTGTGTGTGTGAGCGGTGTAGTTTCTGTCTGATCGTGTGAGGTTGAGGCCCTCACATCCATCACATTCACCATCATGTGCTCTACAGCGAACTTTTTTTTTTTCCAGAATAGACAATAAGTAACATATGATCTCTCTCACACACACGGACATGATGAATCATGCGGCTTCACATTTTCACTGGTTCACACATGTTGTTACTTTAAGACGGCGCTGGTGCAAGACAACCTTACATCGCTGTGTTTTTTTCCCCCTAACTTCCACACCTCAGTCACACAATTTCTCCTTTTTTCCTGCTGCGAGAGGATTTCTGTTGCCCACAGAGCATCTGCAAGTCTGACAGCACCCTCCCCCCACCCCCGCCCCCCATCCTCTAAAACTCTGCACCCCAACAACCGCTCCAACTGCAACCTCTTGTCGCTGGAGACAAATATTGACTTGTTTGGTGGCCACGACTTCTGCCAAGATTAGAGCCCTGCTTCCCCCCAACCTCCTACCGCCGCTGCCGCCATTTCTAAACGGCGATTATGTCCAACAGAGCTCATTACTGTCAAATCAAAGGATCCCTGAGAAGAGTCACTCATTGGTAATGACCCTGTTGTTCAGCGAACATGTGTTTTTTTGGGAGGGGTTTGCCGCTAGATGGTCTGGATGCTGAAGGTGTTTATGGGGCAGAAAATAACATTGTTTTACGCAAATTTGAGATATTTCAAATTTGCTCTTGGCCGAGTATTTAACTAAAAACATATGTCAGAATTCTTCTCTGTCTGCTGGTTATAAATCAATACATTTAAAAAAAAGAAGAAGAAGCTTTGATCGCAAGCCCCAGCACTGTGTTGTCGAATAGTTAAAATGCTAGAACTGATGGAAATCACAACCAAGTATGGAATACACACTCTCAGGATGGCTGCTGCTTTGCATAATCCGGTTACAGTCTGGGTACTGGCTGTGAATCAATAGAGATTAGAGATCTATTAGTCTGAAGGTGTAAACCAAATGCGAGGCTATTCATAACAAAGCTTCCGCCCTCTTGAGGTACTTAACACAGAAATAACAGGACGGCGTAATGAAACTGATGTGAAACTTTGGTATCTTAACTTTCTCCTCCCCGCCTTGAACATGATACTTTAAAAGCAGGTTTAAACACACACTTGCACAAACACACACACACACAATGAGTCTAAGAGATCTGGTTCATAGCACACATCTTTAATACAGTAGTTAGTTACAGTGATGTCAAAAAATAAAACATATACAACATTTTGGAACATTTATAAGGTTCCTTTGTCCCCTTTAGTGCCGTGACTAAGAAAAAAACCCCTCCATCCCGCCCCACCCCGCTCCTGTTCCTCAACAACATTTGTCAACTGCCATCTGCCTGTCTGCCCCCGTCTCCTCTCCACAAACTATATAATTAAGCTGCAACACCTTTTCTCCTCTTACACCTCCCTCCCTCCCTCCTGCAGCCCAGACTTCTACCTTCACAAACATTAGGCTTTTTTTTTTTTCAGAGGACATTGCTCTGTTTGATTTCCCTGCTCACACATTTTAACAAGTGCTTCTAAAACAAAACAGCAAAAAGTACATCTGAACACAAAATGGTATGAAAATACTGTATAGCTTTACAATTCATCCAGTGTAAACAGATTTTTCATGCAAATCGATTCATAATTCTGCCCTCTTTCGTGATATAAATGAGAACATTTGCAGAGCAGGACAAAACAAAACAAAACAAAAATAGACTTTTTCTCTGAGAATTTGAGGAACGAAGCAGCTAATGGAGCTCAGCCGGCTGACTCCAGCTTCTCAAGTCCATGCGGCACGCAGATCATCGACCTCTCTTGCTGCAGAATTGGAGGGACATACAATGGATTTCATGACCGTAGGCAGTGACAATTCAGAGTTCATCATCTCGTCTTACCAGCTTTGAACAATGGACACATAAAGTCTGTATTTTTACAAGTGTTCCAGTGGTAGGAGTCAGGACTGTCCCGCAGCCCCGCTTCACTTCTCCTCTTACTCTCTAAACCTTGGTAGCCAGAGACTGAATCTCTGATTTCTGAGTCTGCGCACTGAGCGTAGACGACATGGAGCTCATCTGGCCATGCATGGCCTTCTTCAGGTTTAGCAGACACAGGCACTGGGAACGAAAGCGCAGGTCGAAGAAGGCATACAGGAACGGGTTGAGGCAGCTGTTGACGTAGGCCAAGCAGGTAGCGTAGGGGTGAGCCAACAGCAGGAACCGCAGGAACCCACAGGAGCTCGGAGCCAGGTTCAGGTAGGAGAGGGCGTCCATGCTCTTCAGCACGTGGAACGGAGTCCAGCAGATGGCAAACACCACCACCAGGGTGGTGATGATCTTCAGCAGCCGCTTCTTCTTCTGGTCCTCCTTGCGCAGGTTGTTGAAGTGACGTGTGACGGTGCAGCCAATGAAGCAGTAGAAGATGGTCATGGCCAAGAAAGGTAGGAGAAACCCCAAGGCGGAGGAGGACAGGCTGAGTCCTGCAATCCACAGGTACTCGTGCCTCTGGTTCATGGTCACCAGGCTGAAGTCCATGGCGCATGTGGTCCGGTTGCTGTTCAGGTCATTCACGGTGGTGCGGAACAGCAGCGTGGGCACCGCCAGGAGGCCGGACAGGAGCCAGATGGCACCCAGGGAGGCCAGCATGGTGCCTCGAGAGCGAAGCCTGCTGCTGGACAGAGAGTGCACGATGGCCAGGTAGCGGTCAAAGCTCAAGCAGGTGAGGCAGAAGACACTGGCGTACATGTTGACCAGAACAACGTAACTGCTGATCTTGCACAGAGCCACACCAAAGGGCCAGTGGTAGCCCAGTGCTGTGTACACAGCCCAGAGAGGTAGGGTTATAACAAAGGTGAGGTCAGCCAGGGCCAGGTTTCCTATGTAGACATCAGCGGCCCGACGCTTAGATTTGGATCTCCAGACGGTGAAGATGACCACGCCGTTACCTGACAGGCCCAGGATGAAGATGAGCATGTAGAGGACGGGGATAAGGGAGTAGGAGGGCTCCCACTCTGAAAAGTCACAGGCGGTCTCATTGTCATCATAATACTCATAGTTATCGACATATTCCCCAGTGGCGGTCTCCATGCTGCAGTAGAAAGAGAATCCTTAATTTTCAATGAGAAAAAAAAAAAAAAAAAAAAAAAGAGCAGTTAGAGTCCTGTACAGATCCAAAAGGGGAGAATGAAGGCAGTGAATCACAGGAGCTTCTGCTGCTGAAGGACAGATTGTGTGTGAGAGTGAGTGACTGTTGGCGCTGTCTGCCTTTTTAAACTCGGCCCTCCACACCCCTGGTTCCCTCCCAGCACGACCCCCCCTCTCTCTCCTCCCCCAGTAAAACATCTCTGTGCGCCCCCCCCCCCTCTCCCTCCATCTCACCTCTCCAGGCGCAGCCCACTCCTTTGCGCGCAGGACGAGCAGCCTCGATACGATCCTCTTTAAGATGCAGATGTAAGCGGGGCAAACTTTAACAAACTTTATTAGAACTCTGCGTTTGGAAAATGTATTAAAATACGTTTAGAAACTGCAGGAGGAGACTGAAAATCTGGTGCACAGACATGCACCAAGAGGTGTCAAATGTTCCTCTTGTTTTTATATTTTTTTAGATCTAAAATTGATAAATGTTAATATTAAAAATGCAACTAAACTTTACATTTAATTCTACGATGTGAATTATTTGCATCATGCGCACTGAAATGCGCAACTTTACTTAACTCTTGTTTTTCTCCTTCCACAATTTTATCTTTTAACGCATCATGAAAACATACTTTTCAGCGTTGCTTTACTGTTTCTCCGTTGATTTGGTCGGAAAAGGCGACTGTGGTTCTGTGAGGAACAGGTCTGGACATTTCTGTTCTCGCATTTTACATCACAATCCCTCCAGTTAAAAGGCTGTTAAAAGTGCAAAGAGACAGAAGCGTCCCACTTTCTCGCCTGCAATTAATGTCTTCTTTTTTTCTTTTCTTTTTTTTTGTGTTATGGAACTTTAATACCCAGAATAATAAATATTTGGAGTTCACTTGCGCGTCCTTGAAATGGGAGCGTAATTAGATCGACCATGAATTGCAGGCTGTTTGAAGATTAGATTAAATATCAGTGGGCAGCGCAGAGGGAGTGTGAATCCAATTCTCAAGTCTGAGGATTAATTTCCACGACAAAAGGACAAGCAAACACATTGGTTAGAAACAAAAATAAAAGGAAACTTCACATTGACACCACCTTGATTCCTAAGTCCTTTTTTTTTTTTTTTTTAAACAGGATTTGCAGAATAGTCACTGAACTTCTCTTCTTCACACCAGGAGTTCATGCAGTGAAGTTTTCAGGGAGGGAAGCAAACGAGCATCCAAAAAGTCCAAAAAGAACAGTTTGATAGTATTTATTAGTTGTTCAGCAGTAAAATAGGTCCCTATAAGAAATGTATCTCAGTTTTAAAGACCTAAAGGTGTAATTTGGAATTATTAAATTGTGTTTACACCATCTGCAAACATTTTTATAACTTACTAGCTCACAGATTTTGCTGCTGGTCAAACTGCAATCAGACTCCCGAGCAGCCCAAAGGAATCACATTCAGAGAAACAAAGTGCGGACAAGTCTGAGCAGCACTGAACATTATTTACAACAGGTTTACTTTGTATAATCTGCCCAAAACAGGCTCCTAAAGGCAGTAAAGTAACTAAATACCCAAGTACTGTACCGAGGTACTATTCAGAGGTAGTTGTGCTTTACTTAAGTATTTTAATTTGATGCTATTTTATTGCAACTCCACTACATTTCCATGTACATTGGGCACACGTTGTACCTGCTTTTTTACTTCACTACATTTATCTTACTATACAACAGATTGGAACTTTAAAAACCAATCAGGACAAAATGATTGATATGAATTCTTAAACATCAAATTAAGTGCGTGAAATCAGTTCTATCTCAGTAACACTACACTATTGAAGTGCTGCTTGCATGTTAATACATCAGTAATAATAATCCAACTGAACAACACTGACAGAGCTCATCTTTGGTGTGTAATTAATAATAAATTCTGCTGATAATATTTGCATTTATATACACAAATAAGGTTTGAAATGTAGACCTTTTATTTGTGAGTATGTATTTTTAGATTGTGCCTTTTGCTTTATTAAAGGTCTTGTCATACTTCCTTGACTACTGACCGCTTGTGATAATAAGGAGTTGTTACATCAATCCTCAAAGTGGACTGTTACACTGTAAATGCTTTGAGAAATGCCTTTGATGAAAGGTTTTTTGGAGCGCAGCTTATCAGCCTGCAGTGAGTGACTGCTGATTGTACAAAGAGGAGTCTAACATGGCAGACACTTCATTCTTCTTTCAGCGATGAAGGGATGTTGGCGCCTGGATTTCTCTCTGCACAGGCCCAACAGTCACAGTGCTTGCCAGATAGGAAACTTTTTTTTTAAAATATAAAAATTGTAAGTAATGTGTCTTCATTTAGATGGAGTGGTGTACATATCCAGCTTCATCCTTGAATTGACTGCAGACCAAATTCATGCACACACCAGGTGTGTCCCACCTCTGCTTCGTTCCCCAGGGAGAGGATTGGTACCTGCTGCTTGCAGGCCCAGAATCCCTTAAGCAAATAAATTTGCAAATCTAAAAAATAAAGGCGAGTAGATAAGAAACAGATGGTCAGATTAGACCATCATCTTAGATATCTTCAGAGGGCCTCCTCACTTGTTAATCACAGCCTTTATGGGTGCCAAGATAAAGCCCTGCTGTTGATCCTGAGGTGGGAGGATGATTACAGCTGGGAGTGAGAATTTACTCACATCTCTTTCCAAATAAAATATACGTGAATTACGCACGCTGACTTTTTATACTACAAGTTACTGCGTGCTTTTATGTCAGATTGTATTTCCAGCACATATCGCCACAGCTTCACTGCCACTGGACATAGCGACTTTGTGTCACAGGGGTTTTCTGTCTGCAGGCCTGGACCACACATGTGTCCCTGCTGCAGCTGTGGCTGCTTTTGATCTGCTGCTGAAATGACCCTGCTGCTGTGCTATGACCGCGTCGGTCTCACTCTGACCGTCGTTCTGTTTGTGCAGGGACAAAATGTAGCAATTCAATGGGAAGCTGATGCTATCATAAGTTTGGTAACAACCAAAGAGGAGGAGATGTGTGATATTTATGTTTACAGGGTTGACAGGAGACGTTTGCAGTGGACACATGTCAGCTCCAGTCTGGAGGAGATAAGTGAGTGAAGGTGTAATCCGTGACCTGAGGTTTGTTTGAAGCGTAAAAATTGTTTGCAGCACACGGATTCTCCACCCTTCCTTGATTTGTGGCTGATATAGCTCATCCAAGGCCCCCGCAAATCAAACTGAGGGAACTGGGGCCCAGAGCTGCAGGAGGCCTGGAGTCCCAGTGTAGTGTCAGTTCAAGACAAGTAGAAGCAGAAAGTCCTTTGTGAAAAATACAAAATATTTCATACTGGGTGCACATTTGCGCTTCCTTCCAGTGAATCTTAAAGCTAGCTGTGAGCCACGGCCACGGAGCTTTCACATCAGCTCGCTAAGTGCCGACTCTGCTGTGTCAGACGACGTCGCACTCTTGTGCCGTGGAGCCACCGCCTCTCCCTCAGATGTGCGAGGGAGCTGCTCCTGCTGAGGGTTCCTTTTTTTTTTTTTATTTTGCTAATTGACAGTGCATCTCGTCAAACTTTTAGGTTATCCGAAAACCACTGACTGTTATGTGTTACTCCTGCGTGGTGACTTGCTTTACTTTGTTCAAAAATCCAAAATGTGAAAATAACAGTAAAACCAACTGGGAAGCGCGAGAATCCATGAAACACTGTCATTGTGTGAAATGGGAAATTCTGGCATTGTGCTTGTACTGTAAGAGCCTAATTAAGCCTTTAGCCCTGAGATCACAAACAGCTATCTTTCCTCTACATCTGCCTTCTCTTGACCTCGGTGTTGAGCTCAATAGAGACCTCCACCCATCATAAGAAATGCTTGCGTTGATAAGGCTCCTCCATTGTTTGAGTTTTGTCGCTGTAAGCACTTTTCTGGTAATGAGCAACGCACCTGTTGAGTGTTTTATTCAAATTTCATTCTGCTTCCCGGATTATAATGAAATAACGGATGCAAATTATTTTTACGCTTACTGTTAGAAAATGTGTCATGTTGAGTAATTTGGGTGTTTTTATTGTGCCTGTTTTGTCTCCTGTCAGTCTGGGGACAGCCCCAAAAAAACTGCTTTCCTTCTATAAAAAGTCACGTCCTTCTCAGCATTAATGACATGCTGACTGTTGTTCTCTGCATATAGTCAAACACAATAGTTTTGTTAGTCTATCTCTGACCAAACAGTCTTTGACCCTGTCAAGTGCAAGTAATGCAGGCGCCACATATTTTCTTTGTGAGCCCGGAGTGCAACGCTGAATTGATGGAGCACTTTAATGCACTAAGAGCTCGTTGCTACTGATTTATCCTGTCTGGTGCTGCAGTGTGAAGATGTAAAACCTTCCAGATTTACTCACTTCAGCTTCTATTCCATGTCAGTGCGCTGAGCTTGTACAGTATGCGCATCAAAGCAAAGTTTTCCTTGGATGGGTCAGACGGAGAGGAGGGTTTATCTGGGGCACAAGTCATGTTGTCTCGTGGTTGGGAGACAGCAGGGTTTGACATTCGTATCAAAACCCAAACATGGCCCAGGCTGAGCCAAACTGCAGCCGTGTTTGCAAGCCGATTGTTGTTGCCACGAGAAATAAAATCTTGACTGTTTATTTATTGCTTATCTACCTTCCTGCCTGCACGTCTGCCAAGAAATAAACACACAGTGTTCGTGTTTGCACCACTTTAGAGAAAATTACATTACTGACACTATTTTCTTTGAACCAGTGCTTGCATAACCATAACCTTTGTACTAAAAGTAACCTTGTCCTAACCTTAAACCAAGTGATGTGCATCATGGGGGCATCATATGACTGCATAAACAGATTCATGTGTCTGCAACATGCAAATACACAAACACACAATGACGACAGAAGTGTAAAATGCTGCACATGTTTTCAGTTTATTTGAGCTCCTTTCAACAGCTAAAAATTGCATTTTCTTTCCAATCAGACTGTTTCAAACCCATAGCAAATGCAACGGATTTAATCATGATGTACAATAAAAGCCAGCGGCATCGACTGACCTACATCGAGGCTGCTCTCCAGTGGTTT